TTTAAGCCCATGGACTTTAATACGGAAACAAATCCCGCATTTTAGCCCATGGGCTAAATTTCGCGAGGGGCCTAAATACGTGAATTCCCGGTAACGAGGGGCATGGCGTGACACAGACATTGTAAGTTCTTAAAATGACGGCTTGTGTTCAGGATATTTCACAATTATTGGTGCGGTAATCAATACTCGAGACAACAACGGATAAAAACCATAACACGAGGATATGAAGCCGAGAGACGTGATGCGGTCCTGCAGTACAGTCAAAACATGACCGTGCATCGCGTGGTTTTATGTCCAGTATTCAGGCCCATGTAACCTGCGGGGAGACGAGGTACATCACACAATACACATCGAGTAACGCGCTGACAACGAATATATATATCTTACCTGCGTAATTTTCGCCAGTTAATCTCAAACTTCACCATCACCATGACAAACGGACGGTTTCATGGCCATCTTGACCGCAAGCAGACGACACTGACATTTGACACAGTCAGAGTTATCCCCCCTGCATTACAATCGGATTTGTTCGGTTCAGTTCGCTGTTCCAAATGCGTGACCAACTCGTGTCAGTCCGGGACAAGCTTTACGGAAAGGGACGAGAGCTGACAAATTGGCAGTTCTATCATATCATTGGACTAACATTGGTAAAAAGTTCGCCATTCTCTCACTATAAGTGGTATTTCAAATTAGCACCTAATCTGTAAACTGGCTAAGATAATTAATGAAAAACAAGTCTACATGAAAAACAATCAGAAACGAGAAGTCTCCCCTCGTAGCCTTGAAGTCATCATTAGCAAATCGTCTTCCAAGCACGTGAGACTTCAAATTTCGAAACAGGTTATAACCACTGGGTGCCAGGTCAGTGCTGTACTCGTGGATTCTGCTTGCGTTGGTGCCCTGTAGTGTGAGTTATAACAAACATTAGTACTGTTTGTTGCGAGGTTATGAAACTTTCACAGGTATGTCATGAATGATCAATGTATGCCATACTATTAGCGGCATACCGGGATTTCCAGCATTTAAGCCCTGGGCTTAATAACGGAAAATGACCCCTCTCGTTAACAAATATAAAACCCATACTTAAGCCCAGGGCTTAAAATCGGGAAATGCTTGTAACTGAAGAAAATGATTCTAAGACACAGTAAAATGGACTGGCTGAGTTTAGTTTTACGCCGCTTTTAGCAATATTCCAGCAATATCACGGCGGGGGACACCAGAAATGGGCTTAACACATTGTGCCCATGTGGGGAATCGAACCCGGGTCTTCGGCGTGACGAGCCAACGCTTTAACCACTGGGCTACCCCACCGCCCCCACAGTAAAATGGAATGAATTTTAATAATGATATTATCATTTATTGCGACTGCGTTTGAGTCATATGGATTGAGATTGTCTATTTGAGTACCTGACCTCTCTTGGTACTCCGAAACGTTCTATATGGGGGGCGCGGTGGGCGAACTGGCTAAAGCGCCAGGCTAGTGATCCAGCGAGCTTGAGGTGCCGGGATCGAGCCCACCTGTGACCGGGTGTAAAAACCTTGGAGTCAACTTTGTGTGAAGACTCTTTCAGTGTTGTCACAACCCCTAGTGTACAGTACACAACCCTGTGCACTTAAAAGAACCCACGAATCCGTTGGTATTTGACCAGATGGTGGCCACATGAATACGTGCAAACACCCAGTTGCGGGTACAGCAACGTACAGTAAACATGGACAAAGTACTGTGACTATGTGTCCCAGTCCACCCAGCTGTAAATGGGTACCTCGTAAGGATGGGAATGCCACACTAACTCGGTGCGCCTTGTGGCTGCAAGAGTTTGTGGCTGCAAGAGTTGTATGCTCCCCAGGGAGTTGAGATTGACAAAACGATGTGCCGTTGAGATTGACATCCAGTGAACGAGGGAAAAACAAAGCGCCTTTGAGCAGCTGAGCTGGATATACAAATGTTAGTATGTATGTATGTATGTATACACGTGCAAAACTCTAACTGCACTACAAACGTTATATATGCTGACGTTCGCCACGTGCTTTTGCAAAACGACGTCACTCTAAACAATAAAATTTTAATCTTAATTAGGCCCACGGGCTTAATAACGGTAAAATATTCCGTTTTAAGCCCATTGGCGTAATTTCGAGTGGGCTTAAATACGGGAAATCCCAGTAGCTGTTTCACAACTTTAGGTATAGTCCGTTTGGCTCAAAAGCGGACCGATGAATTGCATTCTAACTCGAAAACTAATAAACATAAAATACTCAATGAAACACTATCATAATCAAAACCTCAGACCAACTCTGTGAGGTTTTTGCAGAATTTTTGTCCTAAAAATAAAAAAGTTGTTTAACAAACTATCATTAAAATATCGACACAATTCACTGTTTGTTACGAGGGACGAGTGCAGAGAAAGGGGACAGCCAGGTGTGCGAGAAAGGATGGTACAGTCGAATATATATGTATAATCTAGTCACTGACTGTACATGAAAACCTTTGCAACAACCCATTGTCCATTGTACAGATTTTAAGGGACAACCCAGGCTTCACGTTCACGGTTAGGTTACGGTATTCCCCACCTTTAACAAATGCAACATTTTAAATATGAGAATATAAAGACTTTCTCCACATATTTGGAATCAGATAAATGTCTATTTCAAGCGGCTCCTCGACTGAAGCTCACCAGAGACCATATAATATCTATTGTATGGTCTCTGAGCTCACGAAGCGATCTCGAAAAAGCTTGTTTTACTGCTGATATTATCATGATGACCACGCGGTGCTTTTGTTCACTTTTACAACAAAATACGTCTTATTCAAGTCCTGTGTCCTGTGTCCGAAACATTTCATTAACCCATTCAGACAATGACCTACTTTTCAGCCGATCCGAATTTTTCTCGTTTGAAAACGATAATAGACATCATTAAAAACTATCGTTACACTGAATTCCAATTCCTTGTTTCAGAAGAAAATGGTATTTACAAATGAATTTTCATTTTAAAGTTTAATAACATCGTATTTCTATATTTTATGGCGAGGTGTAGGCAGCATGACCTTAACAAAGACGTCACAGACTGCCCCTGTTTGATGAGGTCGTAAAATGAATCACCTATTATGTGTTCTTTGCGCTTATTCAGTGTAGTCACATAACGGACAATGTGATTGATATAATATCAAGGCCGTACCAGACCGCAAAAGTTTACTAGCTGCAGAGCCTCGTTTTGACATTTCCACGATTTCCGTTTGTCAGAGCACGCTGTACGGCATGTTTGCAAGGATTAGAAGGAGCTGACTCCGAGCCGACCTGTCCTTGTTGTACCCTCTCTTCTGCATTTTCATCTGAATCTGTAAAACATACTTTATTGATAAATACCCACTGTGGAGATGCTCAGTGGCGCTGTGGCAATATTGAAGAAGGAGATGGCTCATATTTGTAATACAGAAAGGCAACAGTGAACAGATGGGTATTTAGCTGAGATTGAAAGGTTTCGATGAAGTGTTCGTGATTTCCTTTGGAGGAGAGTTCCACAGTGGAGGGCTGGCAAAGGTGAAGGCTCGGTCAGGCAGTTGGTTTGGAGATCTGTGTTGGGTGAGGAGACAGTCAGAGGAAGACTGGGGATTTCGTTAGGGTACATACACGGAGACGAGTAGTTTGAGATAGTCGGGAAAGTTATTGTTGTAGAGGCAGTCCAGTCTAAGTAAACCTAGGCTCAATATTATTCGTTACACTGCTATACTGAGTCTAACAAAACCTAGCGTTTTTGTCAATATTCAAAGATGTCATCTTGCGAAAATATAAGCAAATAGTAACCATGTCATCAGAAACCAATAAGCGTCATTCGTGACCAACTCGTGTTATTCCGGGACAAGCCGAATAGCGTCTTCTTGGAGGTTACGGAAAGAGGCGAGTGGTGACGAATGGAGGTGACGGAAAGAGGAGAGTGGTGACGAATGCCATAAGCGTATATACTGCAGGTCAAATATCTCTGTTTTGTGCGGATTTTTGTTTGTTGATAGATCAGTGTCAGCGATCAGGGAAGAAAAATCCCAAAACCGTTTTGTAAATCCCGCCGAACCCTAACAAGTAGTCGGATTGGGTAAATCCGTTCGGCAGTCTCGCGTTTGATTGGACGGCCATAGGTCGCTGAAAGGTTAGCTGACGCGACCTTCTACTAGGTTTTGTTAGACTCAGTATAGCAGTGTAACGAATAATACTGAGCCTAAGTTTACTTAGACTGAAAGGCAGTCATGAGTCAGAAATTCTTGCAGAGATGGGGAGCCAGTGTAGAGACTGTAGTACTGGGGGTGATATGGTCATGACGAGGAGTGTGGGTGATACATCTGGCAGCGGAATTTTGGATATTAAAAATACTTTTCGAACGGAAACGAGGGAAGCACGGTTGCCAACATTTGCTAACTTCGCTCGCATATAGAACAACTGGTAATTTTTCTCTCTGTTGCGCAACCCTATTTGCGCTACAGTTTGCCCGTGCTTGGGTGACACATGTCATCGTATCCCAATTGCGTAGATCGATGCTCATGCTGTTGATCACTGGATTGTCTGGTCCAAACTCAATTATGTACAGACCGCTGCCATATAGCTGGAATATTAAGAACAATGCCATTTAGAAAGTGATCAAAAACAACATATGTATACCGCTCAGCCACACGGTGGAAGCCGCGGTGGTTGGGCGTGTTGGGCGGCTGACTTTATGTGCTGCCGACCAGGTGCCTGATTCTGAGGGTGTAGGTTCGAATCCTGGATGGGACTCAATACAAGTACTCTATAAAGTACTAGAATCTGTACTTTACGGAGAAAGTTGAATCCCACTATAACATACTAGCGTGGCTAGACTGAATGAATGACAGGTTTATTCGCGGTGTATAAATTTTCGCGCTAAAATAAAACCTGCGCGAAATAGAATACGTTTACAGTATGTTACAGCTGGAATATTGCTGAGTGCGGCGTCAAACTAAACTCACTCACATTATACATTAGAAAACACTTGTATGAATGCCAACGTCTTTATTTAGAATACACTGCTGAAGTTCGCCCCAAAAACATCGACTATGTATCAAAGCTTATTTTGCATCAAATATTAACTTGCAGATTTGATTATAAGTTTTTACTATTTAACATCAAATTCAAGGTTTGAAATATACTAATATTATGTATTAGAAACTGTGATCTTGGGCCACATGGATGTTTATTTGCGACCTGCAACCAGTTGACATCGTCAGTTTCTTATCTAATTCTTTTCGTCTCCTTTTTACAATTTGGCTCCTCGCACCCACTGGAGAGGTAGCCTACGGCTGCCCCTGCTGCGCCCATTGCTACCTTCGTTCCTACAGCTACACCAGCAGCCCCTGTGACAAGACGAAAGTATTTCATAATGCAAGATAATGGCTGACAACATATATTTGATTTACCAAGGAATTAAAAATGTAAGAATGTTTTTAATGATTATGTGATTAATTAACTAGGAGAAGCTCCAAATGTACCTGCAGACTGTGCTGCTGCAACGAGCCCCGCGCCCACTCCCGTCGTCGCAGCTGTAGACATCGCACCCGCTGCCACGGAGCCTGCTGTAATCCCTGCTCCTGTGAACCCCATTCCTGCGAGCCCGGCCCCCAGAGCAACTGGACCCAGTACCGCACCTGCTACAGCTCCACCCACAAGAGCGGGGCCCCAGCACCACGGGTCATCCCAGAAACTCTTCTCCTTGCCCTCTTGAATAAATATTTCATGCATTAGGATTCTTATGCTTCCAAATTGGTATTCGGGGCTAGGTAGAAAGTCAAGATGACAAAACTGACAACCTCGATCCTAAATTTCAGTCACACACATGCCAGAATATTCTAGTTCTGGGAGTTTTAGTTCACATTGTCTATATTCACTGTGTTCACATCAGTTTAAGAATGGAACAATCATTACACATGCCACATGTTTATATAGTTTGTCGTCAGACTGACACACGTTGAAGGTTAAGCCCACGTTTCATCAAACGTGCTCCCTGACCTTGACCTTATAGGTAACAGTAACATAAGGCGATAGAAATCTCATATGGAGGGTAATGTTCATTAAGAGGCTTGTACACCTTTAATATATTTCATATAGCTGCAGTACCGTCAGTACAGCCGAACACTGTCGAGTGAAGAAACTAAAGTACCGTCAGTACAGCCGAACATTGTCGTGAAGAAGCTGAAGTACCGTCAGTACAGCCGAACATTGTCGTGTGAAGAAGCTGAAGTACTGTCAGTACAGCCGAACATTGTCGTGAAAGAAGCTGAAGTACCGTCAGTACAAACGAACATTGTCGTGTGAAGAAGCTGAAGTACCGTCAGTACAGCCGAACATTGTCGTGTGAAGAAGCTGAAGTACCGTCAGTACAGCCGAACATTGTCGTGTGAAGAAGCTGAAGTACCGTCAGTACAGTACAGAACATTGTCGTGTGAAGAAGCGAAGTACTGTCAGTACAGTATTGTCGTGTTAAGAAGCTAAAGTACCGTCAGTACAGCCGAATATTGTGAAGAAGAAGCTGAAGTACCGTCAGTACAGTCGAACATTGTCGTGTGAAGAAGCTGAAGTACCGTCAGTACAGTCGAACATTGTCGTGTGAAGAAGCTGAAGTACTGTCAGTACAGCCGAACATTGTCGTGTGAAGAAGCTGAAGTACCGTCAGTACAGCCGAACATTGTCGTGTGAAGAAGCTGAAGTACCGTCAGTACAGCCGAACATTGTCGTGTGAAGAAGCTGAAGTACCGTCAGTACAGCCGAACATTGTCCTGTGAAGAAGTTGAAGTACCGTCAGTACAGTCGAACATTGTGATGAAGAAGCTGAAGTACTGTCAGTACAAACGAACTTTGTCGTGTGAAGAAGCTGAAGTACCTTCAGTACAGCCGAACATTGTCGTGAAGAAGCTGAAGTCCCGTCAGTACAGCCGAACATTGTCGTGTGAAGAAGCTGAAGTCCCGTCAGTACAGCGGAACATTGTCGTGTGAAGAAGCTGAAGTACCGTCAGTACAGCCGAACATTGTGATGAAGAAGCTGAAGTACTGTCAGTACAAACGAACTTTGTCGTGTGAAGAAGCTGAAGTCCCGTCAGTACAGCCGAACATTGTCGTGGGAAGAACCTGAAGTTCAGTCAGTACAGCCGAACACTGTCGTGTGAAGAAGCTGAAGTCCCGTCAGTACAGCCGAACATTGTCGTGTGAAGAAGCTGAAGTACCGTCAGTACAGCCGAACATTGTTGTATTAAGAAGCTAATGTACCATCAGTACAGCCGAACATTGTCGTGTGAAGAAGCTGAAGTCCCGTCAGTACAGCCGAACACTGTCGTGGGAAGAACCTGAAGTTCAGTCAGTACAGCCGAACATTGTTGTATTAAGAAGCTGAAGTACCGTCAGTACAGCCGAACATTGTCGTGTGAAGAAGCTGAAGTACCTTCAGTACAGCCGAACATTGTCGTGGGAAGAACCTGAAGTTCAGTCAGTACAGCCGAACATTGTTGTATTAAGAAGCTGAAGTACCGTCAGTACAGCCGAACATTGTCGTGGGAAGAAGCTGAAGTTCAAGAAGCAGTACAGCCGAACATTGTCGTGTGAAGAAGCTGAAGTTAAGCTGAAGTACCGTCAGTACAGCCGAACATTGTCGTGTGAAGAAGCTGAAGAAGAAGCTGTCACGTCAGTACAGCCGAACATTGTCGTGTGAAGAAGCTGAAGTACCGTCAGTACAGCCGAACATTGTCGTGTGAAGAAGCTGAAGTACCGTCAGTACAGCCGAACATTGTCGTGTGAAGAAGCTGAAGTACCGTCAGTACAGCCGAACACTGTCGTGAAGAAGCTGAAGTACCGTCAGTGAAGTACCGTCAGCCGAACATTGTCGTGTGAAGAAGCTGTGAAGAAGCTGAAGTACCGTCAGCACAGCCGAACACTGTCGTGTGAAGAAGCTGAAGTACCGTCAGTACAATCGAACACTGTCATGTGAAGAAGCTGAAGTCCCGTCAGTACAATCGAACACTGTCATGTGAAGAAGCTGAAGTCCTGTCAGTACAGCCGAACATTGTCGTGTGAAGAAGCTGAAGTCCCGTCAGCACAGCCGAACATTGTCGTGAGAAGAAGCTGAAGTACCGTCAGTACAGCCGAACATTGTCGTGAAGAAGCTTCTTCCTAACGGAACATGACAGGTGGTTGTGAGGGTCCACTTACCTGTGCCACGGACGCTCAGACCGCTGATGAGGAGCAGATAACATACGACGTACGTTCGCAACATGTTGTTACAAGTGATTGTAAATAGTCTGTGGATGAAAGACAGCGGAATTTTAGTAAACAATGTTTAACTTAAGCATGTGAACAATTTTTACATTACACAACATTTCGGAGTATATCCTCACTCCTTTATTCACCTGATGTAGGGGTAAGGATATACTCCGAAACGTGTATTCCCCATAATAAAGAAGTTGTCAGCCATAAGATACTCTCCTCCTGACGCCTTAATCATCTATGTAAACAAATATGAACATCATTCTCTACTGGCTGACAATCAACATCTTAATCTCTTACGTAAACGACGTATGTATATCCTCTCAACTGGCTTCCAATCAACCTACTTAATCCTGTATACCATCTGTGTTTTCAACCTCTTCTATTGCATAAACAACCCATTTTCGCCTCATCCCTCATCTGTTGTATAAACATCACATGTATATAATCATCCAAATTACTTCCCATGTACCACTTGCTTGACAACGACATCAGAATCTATGTCGAAACGTCGCCTATGCAGAATAAATAAGTTGTATATCGATAAAAAATGTCCTCATTCTTCATTCCACATTAATTAAATATCGATGACATCTTCATTTTATCACATTTGATCACGTGAATGTCGCCGATAATGTCCCATATCTTCCTTCGCCATAAAGTGGGTTTGGCGGAAATTGTTCGAAAGCCCAGGACCCGGTTGTATCAAACTTTAATGACGCATTAACGTGCCATTAAACGTTCATTAAGTAATGTATCATTAAATTCTGTTGTACTAACGTTTTAATGACGTCGTGTTGTCATTAGTCATTAGCGCGTCATTAACTTAATGAAGGTCCTGGGGTATCATTAGAGCGTCATTAAACTTACTGGAAATGAGTGAGTGGGTGAGTGAGTTTAGTTTTACGCCGCACTCAGCAATATTCCAGCTTTATGGCGGCGGTCTGTAAATAATCCAGTCTGGACCAGACAATCCAGTGATCAACAGCATGAGCATCGATCTGCGCAATTGGGAACCGATGACATGTGTCAACCAAGTCAGCGAGCCTGACCACCCGATCCCGTTAGTCGCCTTTTACGACAAGCGTAGTCGCCTTTTGTGACAAGAATGGGTTGCTGAAGACCTATTCTACCCCAGATCTTCACGGGTCAAACTTACTGGAAAAGTGAACATTGCGCCAGAATTTCGTTTGCTCCGCACTGGATCTACCTACAGCTATAAAATTACACAGAAATGTAGAGTATTAAATGTCCTATCTCATGGTATAAACTCAGTTTGAAAAGTAGACACTGCTAAATGTTACTCCTAATTTTGTTATGCGTTAAAAACAGTAAATTTCTCTGCTTTTTATCGTGCACTGATAAAAGTACTGTGCTACTATATTTTCAATTTGGCATCTTTACGGAAAGTGTGAGCGAACGAAATTCTGCCTGATACCTGAATGACATAGGTATGTATTAAATTAGTTTGTGTTCTTGTATATAACGTTATACACTCAATCTTGTATATGTGTTGAAAATGGATTTTCCCCTATCACGTCAAATGGCTACATAAAGGTCATGTATGCTTACAAAGATAAGGGGGCCTCACTCCGCTATGGTAATGCAAAATCATCGCTACTGTGCAAGTCTAATGGCAGTACCATGATCAGAGATGTACACTTTTTATATTGAAAACTAATGAAGAGTGATTTTTTATGATAAATAGAATCTCACCCTCGTGTCTTCTGATATCAAATACATGTATATCAACACTCGTTTATAAAAGTAAAAATATCCTCGACATGCCTCGGATATTTGTGACTTTATCAACTTGTGGTGATATATTTGATATCAAAGACACTCGGGTGAGATTCTCTATACATGTGTATTAAACGAGTAAGTTGAAGTTTAATCATCAGTCAATTACAAAATGAAAATGCACAAAATAAACTCTAGATTTAGACAAGACATTCCTGTCATAAAAATGTAAGCTCTGGCTTATCTTTAATACCGAAGCTGAAAATGTTACATGTGTATCTAGATAATCTGAAATGATAAAAATATATTTGTAGAAGCTATATGCAAACTTAAAGGTCACATGCAACCAAAAAATCAAACATAATTAAAACACAATTATCACTTATTCATGACATATAATATACATTGCTGGTTATGAAAAACATATAAACAAAATTATAAGCGTACAATCGCAAATCAAAAGTGCAATATTGTGTACTTGGGTTTACTTCCCAAGAAACGAAGCAGCCGGGATACCGAACCCAGTCAGAGCGGGTGGGTGTGCACTCAAGTTTAACGGCTGGTTCATTTGCAGATGCGCTCACGGCTCATTGTGTGTGTATATATAGAGATGTTGGGTTTTGTAAATACATGCTCATTTTTTGTGTATAACATTTTGCAATCAACAGACATCATAACATGTCATGTGTTCAAGTATCACACCTGCCTGTCTGTGTAATTACATAATGATCAATAATCCATGGCGTTATTTTTTAAAATGGAAAACAATTACATAACATTCAGTATGTAAAATGAAAGTTCAATCGTGATATTAAGAGATAATTTAAAACTCATAAAATGAATATGAATAAGTAAAATTTAAAAGTTATAATTTACTTGTTTCAAATGTGGTATTTACCAGAAAAAAAGTGGCAATTACCAGAAAAAAGTGGTAGTTACCAATTTTAAAACAGAAAATTCAAAAAACCATTTTGACCCCTCTGGGCTTTCGTACGAAAATATAGTGTCCTTATTCACAGCAAATTCTCGCCAAGTGATCTGAGTTGCAATGACTTGGTATGCATTAAGGATATAATGTATCATTAGGGTTTAAGGTTGACATTAGTTAATGAAGCATTGATACAACTGGATCCAGTACAATAACTAAGAAAAACTAGACGGCCAGTTTTAATAAGAAACTGACTGGTAAGGAATGAATGACTTACCCGAACAGTCTTATGTGTACCACTTCTCTTCTGCGTGTGTTGTGAAGCGCTCGGCTTTTATATGGTTGTAATACCCGTGACGTAAGCTCGTCAGTCAATGTATGAGCTACGTGGCATCAAGTGGAATTTTCCTAAAGGGGCGTGTATCTACCAGAAACCGTTCTACTTTCACTTTCGTTTCTGGAACTATGTTCTTTTTGGTCTGTTGACGTTATTAGTCATAGAATAGCACGTAACCCTCACAGCTGCGAACAATAACCAATGTAGGGCGTAGAACTATACTCATGCCAATAATGGTTGTCACCCCCTAGCCTAATAATACAGACTGAAGGGGGTAATGGTTGTCACACAGCCATTATTGGCCTATTACATACTGGTACATGGATCCAGTTTACACAGAGGCATAGATCGATCATGGCCTCCTACACACCTTTAGACACAGCGGGAATAATCAGAATACATCGCCTCCTAAACACACCTACTACGCGGCGATTTTGAGCGAAAGACAGGGTGTCCCGCATGGGTCGTTAGGTTTGCATATAAAATTTGTGCATGAATTTGTGAATTTGGAATTTGGTGTTTGGGACAAATGCCAGGTTCATTCTCCACTAAATTTGAATACGATGTATGGACATTATTTTTGTGTCTTGGTGTCACTAAGAAAGTACATGCTGGGTTTGATGTGGAACATTGTTTCTAACACATGCATGATAACCCTATACTGATGCTATGAAAGCTAACTTATAGCCGGATGTAACCTTAATCTTATTTGTCAATATAACTCGTGTCACAGGTTACATGTAACACAATATACACGCTCTGTTGGGTTATTTACCTGTTGCTGCAAGCATTTAGATGTTGCTAAACATTGCATTACACAAGTCTATGTACAACTGAACAGAAAATCAGCTAAATTAGGATTTGTTCCACTTCAATATCCATGTCTTTAAATACCCAATCAGATCTCTTTCACACCCCAGTTAAGAAATATATGGAAGGGGCTTGTGCTGATAAGGGGCTTGTGTTGGTTATAATGTTGTCAAAATTGTTGCAAAAACAGTCAATATATGTTCTATAAGTACATTGGGTAAAGCATCTGGTTTTATTATAATGGACGGGCTGACTTTACGGTATCGAATTATTATGCTGTATATTTGAACATATCACGTTCGGTGGGCATTAAATTTGGATACATTACCACTGGGACTCATAGATGAATTGTTTTGAAAAAGAAATGAAAAGATTGAGAAGTTTTATTTGGTCGGCTACTCATTCACAGCGTGCAACTTTCGTCGAGAATAAACCACCGGCAGTCAGGGATAAACCACCGTGTCTGGGCTGAGGCTCGCCAACGTTATTGATAAATTAGTTAAATACTGTATTAGCAATGTCCATACAGTTGTCATTGTCGCCATCTGTGACTATATGCATAGTTCCGACCGACGCTACGAAGCCACGCCTACATTGGGTACTGTTGCTATGTCCCCCAAGTTTTACACCCCACCGCTGCCCCTGTCAATGATCCAGCTGACTCATACTACAATTATGAAAATTCCCACGATGTGCTCAGTGTCTTGATAGTGCGTGACTTATGAAATGCTCAACTCCCAAAATAACTTCAGCTGTACTTTACTGAGAAAGGGTAATCCAGAATATACATATGAGCTATGATTTTGGTCCCCTGTGATAATCAGTGACTGAATAGCTCCCTGAATACCTGAATAGCTCCCTGAATACCTGAATAGCTCCCTGAAACACTGAATAGCTCACTGCTGCTTCGCGTAACAGATTTTCACCACACCTAGTATTGATCCAGAGGCGTAAACATATATACCACATGCTGCAACTGATCATTTCTAAAAGGCATTGTATATTCACGTTACATTTCATAGGAAACTGTCTAGACGTGCATTTCAATATGCTTACATAGCTGACAATTTCAACGTTGTCACAAGGTTGTGCTTTCGATGTTAAAACGTTAGTCTGTGGACTCCCATTTACGCACTTTATGTTGTCTTAACGTCCTAGTTAACGTTAATAGTTGGATAGTTTTCCCAGTAGTGAACAGTACGGTGTCCTCCCAGTTGTGAGAACTCCCAGTTGTGAGACACATTAATTAATGGTTCAGTGCACACAGGTGGTGCTTCCCCATCCCTACGATGAAAGTGGGAACAGCCCTGTTGCTGAATAGTACCCTCAGGAGGCATAGTTCATTAATGAGTTAATTAACACAGAAGACATTGTTCGTTGAAGGGCATTTATTGTTTTCAATAGATACTGAAATACTGAAAAAGATTATCGTGAACTGGTGATATATTCTACTTGTTGCAGGCCTACCATAATGGTGATCGGAAAGAGCAGTCAAAGGTTAATAAATACATTTGGATTAATTATAGTTACAACAGTTATTGCTAGATATTTCAAACACGTAAATCTGAGTAGGTAAATTAATTTCTCTTTCAAATGATCACGAAGTTACTTACACAAAATGTTTATTTTTTAAAGCCATTTATCTGAGTAGGTTAATTACTTTATCTTTTAGAGTTTCATTAAGTTACCTCCACAAGATTCAGTTAAATAGCTAATCCATAATTAGCTGGGGTTAACCTATTCTATCAGATAGGGGGTAAGGTGTGTTTTCTTTGCTAATTACCTACTCCACTGTCTCACAACTGGGAGTCTCACAACTGGGAGTTCTCACAAATGGGAGTAGACCAACAGTACACAACACACAAAGCAGGAATTCCCTTCAATGTTTATTCGTCAATTTGCATGTTGTTTTGGTCGTGTTTTTGAAGCTGTAGCTGAATAGTGAAAAAAGAATGTTAAAGTGAAATGTTTTACACAAAACTATATCGTGACACCAAGTTATTGTGTAATAATCGATACACAACGTTTTGACAATGCATACTTATATGTAACAGTGCTGCAACGTTATAAAATGACGTAATTACTAACGTTGTGTCATGACGTTACCAGTCTACATCCTTCCCACAGCGTTGGGAAAACGTGTGTTATTGGCGTAAAGTATTATTTTACTTGATTGAGAAATCATTATTTATTTGTAAAATAGCTCAGTTCATCATTTAATACACAAATTACAAATAGTGGGGTTTTACTACCTACACCCTCAAATTCAAACCTATCACAGGGTAATTTCATTAGCCAAGTATTTAATCTATCGGGGATTCCAGCCTGGGTGGGTGGGTGAGTGAGTATGGTTTTACCCTGCGTTTAGCGATATTCAGCAATACTACGACGGGGGGAAACCAGGAATGGACATCACAGATTGTACCCATGTGGGGATTCTAACCCGGGTCTTCAGCGTGGTGAGCGGACGCTTTAACCACTAGGCTACCCCACTGCCCCTAATTCCAGCTTGGAATTGATCCCCAGCCAAACTCTACTTGTATGAGGCGAATTGATTGTTCAGATGTGGTCGATGAGTGAGTGAGTGAGTTTGGTTTTTACCCTGGTTTTAGCAATATTCCAGCACAGCGGGGACACCAGAAATGGGCTTGTACCCATGTGGAGATTCAAACCCGGGTCTTCGGCGTGACGACCGAACGCTTTAACCACTAGGCTACTCCACCGCCCCATGTGGTCGATAACGTATCATCTTTACCCCACAACGTAGATACGTCGTTCATAATATCAACCACTGATTTCCATTGTGCAGGCTCGATTATTTTCAGGCCGGCGTCATATAATCTGAATATTGCTAGGAGGTTAAACATCAAAACAAAAACAAGATATATACTATTAAAAAAAAAACGCATAGGTGGTTTGTATTTTCAAAAATCTATTAATTACCTATTGTGTTCAAACAATCGTCCAAATATGTAGCATAAGTGTTGATAACATGATTTTACACAATTGCACAAGTGGAAAGTCGACTTTACCTGAAAATGTTGATTTTGATGAGATTTCTTACAAGAATTAAAAAGGCATCGCCACAACACAACAGAAATCACCTTTCAGTTGAAATTGTGCAGCAAAGAGAATGCACTGTCTGGCTATAAAAATCCAGATTACTTTGGGAAATCGGCATTCGTTTTGAAGGAGTTTCAAGGTCAAATGACTACGCCACGTCTTGGCGGTACGACACGGAACATCGCCATTGAAAGAATGCACGCTGGAGATTACCAATCTTCTGTTGCCAGGCGTCTGAATGTTAGTCTGAGCACGATATCACGGCTTGCAGCTCGTTACAACCAAACAGGTATAACAAATGACCGTCCCCGTACAGGCAGACCTCGAGTCACTACTGCAGCCCAAGATCGGTACATCTGGGTACTACATTTGCGTGATCGTACTGCCACGGGTGAGAGCACAGAAGCCAGGGTGCCTGGACTTCGGAGGATATCCGGTCAAACTGTACGGAACAGGTTGAGAGAGATTGGACTGAGAGCCAGGAGACCCGACATCGGGACCGTGCTACGTGGTCACCATCGTGCTCAACGTCTCCGTTATTTAAAATTATCCACTTGGTTGTATAGACATTAACTTCTTCTAAACTGATGTAAAATTCATTGCTGAAAGTCTATTTGTGGACGAGTTATACATGTTTGAAAGTACAACATTTTCGCAACAGTAATGGATGCAGGACGTCACAGGTCAGAAAGGTTAATGAACCCGTGTTTGTTCTAGTGCGATCATGCCATCTGTAATGAAACCCTTCATGAAACAAAAAACAAAACCTAGTCCATGAAGGCCTTATAATACAGTAGGGCTGAAATCCTGTTTCAAATGTTTCACCAGCTTTTCTATTCAAAGCTGAATGGAGGGTGTGTGTTGAAAGTACATACTACCACAATGGAGACTGGTTGTGCCAACACGGGTTGGGAGTTGGAATGTATCATTCTAATAGATGTAGCAAAAATATGTAACATTTTTAGCTAAATGAAAGTGAGCAGAAAATGATTAAATTCGTATGGTGAGCTATTGAACAAATGGATAACTTTAAGACATCTAAGTTTCGGAGCATTTTAAACAGAAACTATTTTAGTTTATCATCCAAAACTGTGTTCCACAGGAGATATTGCTTGTGTGAGATCAAACGATATCTCCTAGGAGATATCGTTTTGACAGTAGATTTTGTACAATGCCCTAACAATGCTATGACGTCATGAACTTGATGATGTTACA